CATAGATATTTTTGAATCTTTAAACTTGATAAATTTCTTAATTATATAACTATATTTATTTTTGTACATAGTTAAGGTTTGAAGTCTGTCAGTTACCTTAGACATTCTTCATCTTCCATTGTATTTTGAGTTGTTTTTATAGCTTGCTATCTAAAAAAGCAACTTTTAAAAAACTTTTTTCAATTTGGTTTTCATTAATAAATATATACTTTTTCCCCTATGAACTAAATCCTTATTTTTTAAAAAGTTCTTTAATTTATTGATTAATACTTGTAGCTCTTTATTTTCATCAAATAAATGAATTTTTAAACCACAAAGATGTTAATTATTAACTCACTAACTGATATTCTTAAGTTAAAATCATATAACGTCTCATTAAATATAAATATTCTAAAAAATAAGGTCTTGGATTCACAAACACTTGTATCATAACTTACGAGGAAATTCATTGTAAGTTGCCAGGTGCAAAATGTCTCATAACTACTATGATATCTAAGATCTCTCATAAGTCTAGGTACTGATTATCAAATATTTGGTTCTATTCAGTAGATAATCAATTTAATCGGTTTTTTTCTTCTTAATATTTCTTCTAAACTTTTCTGATTTGAAACTTCTAAGATGTTATCAAATGACAAAAAAATTGATAGAATTCTTCACGTTGGAGTTAAAACTCTTATAGAATGTCCTCCAAAAAAATCTTATTCATTATAATTTAATGTTATCGTTTTTCAGCCAAAAAACTATTAGTTTGTCAATTTATTTCAAATTTCTTCAATACTTTTATTAATACAACTACCAATATCAATTTTGGGTAGATTTAGTTCTACACCTAGATCGGTTACATTTTTAGATATCTTCTATTATACATATAAATAATTAATCTAAAAGTAGCTAATTACTATCCATTTTAATTCTAAAAAATATAATGCTACCTTTCCTCAGACCACTGATTAAATATCATGTGCAGTGAGAAAATCCTAAAAGAACGTCTTCCTATTGGCTCTATTAAAACAGAAGCAGTCACTAATGATATCATAAGACACTCTCATTACTAATTCCTTCTGTTTTATCATAATTGCTGCAATATGTTTTGTGAATATAAAATATTGTTAGCTTCTCATAACTTGTGATATTGGAGATATACTATGTTGTATCTTACAAGAACTTTGTGAATCCGGGCCAAGGTTGATTTTCATGCAACCTTTGCCATCATATTCTGTTTTGAGGGACTTACTAAAATCCTTCTATTTCATTCATGATCATAGTAACTGAGTGTTATAATATCAATGAATATGACCAGTTTTTTTTAATCAAATCCATAATGCCTAAATATTTTCCATAATGTTTTTTTTATCAAATGGAGTTTAAATATCCTAAATCTATGAAATTTCATTACGTTGCCATATTGTTTTTTGTATATATTTGTCTGAACTGTAATTTAAAAATTTGTTTGTGATATGATTTTTAATAAATAATTAATAAATATTTTTATGTGGTAACTCAGGTTATTTGCAAAGGAAAAAAACAGTTTGGATCAGATACAGGTTATTTTGTTGGGGCTACCAATTTCATGGTTAATAGTATTATGAAATGTACTAGAAAAACTGAGTATTGATAATATGCTTTTGGGTTAACAATTAATATCAAGAAATATTTTCAACACTTATGCAGTTTGATGATTTGGCCTTAAATATTCTGCTTTTTCCCCCCTATTTACACAAAAAACTACTAACAAAAGTGAAATGGAATTTTATTATTATTATTATTATTATTTTTTAACAGAATAAGTTAGATTAAAGCAATAAAGCTATACCAACTGCCATATAATATTGAGCTGTATATATTGCTGATAATACTTATATTATAAAGCCCGATATCATACGGCAGTTGGTGTAACTTTATTGTAATGTATCGGATTTTGTAAGATGTTTATATATATATAGATCAATACTTTTCAGACTGTATTCGCATATCAGTTTTTTTCATTTAATTCCTCATAGACCAGTGTTTTTGTAAAGTTATAAAAAGGAGAGAACAGAATTCAAATGCATTCTTTTTTTTCTTTTTATTATTTTAATTTTTAGTTTGAATTAGTGATAAAGAACAAAATTTGGTTCCAATCATTTTTTTTTTAAATCTGTCTGTGAGGTGTTTGAGTAATTTCACAGATGCTTTTGATCACCGGTTCACCCGTCATTAAGTGTTTAATAAAGAAAAACAAAGCTAATAAAGCAATGCATTTTTAAATGGCTTTTAAAGACATTTTTAATAAATTTTATAAACATAATATTCAAAATTATGAAATTGTAAGTAAAATCTTGTTGTGGCCTAGTAATAAACTGTTTGTGGATCAGTACTAATCCATAGACCACAGTTTGAGTAGCACTGGCTTAGATGATGCCTTCTAAACTGTATACAAATACTAAATAGTATCTCATCAGAGATATGGGATACAGATTTGATGAAAGTTATACAAAGGTTTTATTTTAATTCTAGCAAGTTTTTAAACTTATATTGTTAGGTTATTTGCAGAAAAATATGGCATATTTAAATTTTAAGTTTACATTTTATAAATTCAAAATAATTTAAATTTTTGTTTAGACATTTATCATTGATTTTTAAAAATTATTATTTAATTAAAACTCTAAATAAGCTTTTTTTTTTAAATATTTTGGTTTTTTAAAATATTTTTATTACTTTAAATAAGCTTAATAAAATTTTTTTAAAGACAAAAATTGACTGTATAATATTTATATATTAAAAAAATATTGACAGAACTATTAGAAAAAAAAATTTGTTTAGGACTAGTGTAGAATATATAATATTTTGATGGGAGGAAAAATTCCATCACAGTGAGACTAAATTTTCTAACAAATTCCTTTTTCTTGTTAATTTCATTTTGAATGTTATTTTTAACAAGATTTTATTGATATTTTTGTTCGACATTTTATAACATGATATGAACAACTAGAGGTAGATGTTAGGCACCATCTCTTAACTAAAGTAGAAACTATAATTTAATTTTAGAAATTTAGAGTAGTCTGGAAGAAAAGAATGAGTCCAGAGTGTTAGTCAAATCCACAACCTCTGTTTACCATGCAGTGCGCTGGTCAGATATGCCAACTAGACCTCTGAGCAAGTCCTCCCTTCTAGACACATTTAAACTTTTAGATATAACCATCCAACGGTTAAACAAGGCACTGCCTGGGGACATATTCATTACCCATGGCCTACTCAACATGATGTGCAGACAGCTGACAAGTTTACCCGGCATGGTGTATATATATAGATATATAAATATATCATCTCAATAACCCGATGTATTAATAATCAACCAACCAAGAGCCAAATTTTGGCTGTTGGTTGGTTGATTATTAATACATCAGGTTATTGAGACGATGATATATTTAAATTTGGTTTTTTGTGATATTTATATTTTTGCTTTTTGAATAGATATAAGTATTGGGCATATAATTTTACATTTTATAACTATTACAGGGACAAATATTCCTTAGAGTACATAAATTGATATAACAGGATTTAGTAAAATAAAAAATTTTATTTTGTAAATTGTGAGATTTTGTGTTAGAATATTCTACTTTGATCATCCTGTCCTCCTTCTATATTTTATTTTCAGAATTCAATTATATTTTGAAAATATTTGCTATTTCCTTATTAACCAGTTCTGTGACATTGGTTAGTCGGCTAGTCACTTGTTTGACCAGGGCTATCAGCTGTTGGTTTAAGGCTAGCCAGTTAGTGGTTACATTTTTTAAAAATTAATTTCTTGATGATATTAGATATCCTAGTTCTGCAAATTAAAATAAAGCTGAAATATTGATTTTCAAATGTTGATTTTATTTTGAAAAATATTTATTAAATGTAAATATCTAATTGTCATCACCTTTTTTTGAAATTTAATCTTAAGGTATAAAATTGATAACCCCGTTGCTCATGAAAATACCATCAGAACATAAAGATAGAATTTGAATGCCTTTTTCTTTCAGGATATCAAACTACCTTTATAAAATTAACTGGAAATTTCAAAATGTGTAATTTATAAAATTTTAATTACATCTGATTTAATATTTTAATCACAAACATACCATATCACTCTAGACATAAAGATGCGTCATGTTGTTATTTTTAAATTCTGCAGAAATTACAAGACAGAATAATAATTTATATATAGTTGTATTTATATTATGCTTAGCTAAAGGACATGACGGATAGCATTAATTCAATTTATTAGTTTAGACATATAACAGGTTTGAAGAATAATAAAGTTTTCAAAAATCTGAAAAAACAAAATAAAGACTTATTAATTTATTTAAAGACACAGTTTATTCCAGTTTAAAATTTCAACAGTGAATTTTAAAATTTATTTTTTAAAAAAGAGGATTGCAAAAAGTATTTTATTAGCAAATAATGTATTAGATAACCTCTTTATTTGTCAGGAAACAAAAAATATTATTTTGTTGTCATTTGATTTCCACATTTGTTTAAAACATAAATGTATTAAAAATTTTCAAAATAGACATAATAATTATCAAAATATCTCATTAAACTTAAAATATTTCTTAAAATTTATACTGTACTTCACTGAGACTCCATACCATCTTTCAGGATAATTGTAATAATTACATTTACGTAGCTATTACATATATTGTATATAGCTATTTAAATGTAATTATTCTATTAGTACAAGTAATAATACATATAACATGTTAAATTAGTACATGTAATATGATTTCTTTCCATAAAAATTTCATATAATGTAGTTAATATATATCAGTTATCAAAAATAATAAAGTTAGTATAATTTAAAAAAATTTTTAATTTCTGTTAATTCATCATCAAAACATTATTACTGACTGACATTTTGAACAAATTATTTAAAAATAGATAAGGTTTTTTGATTATTGTGATGTTTTCATTTCTGTTTATTATTAATTTACATAATTTTGTACTGTGTATATTAATTTAAAATTCGTTGTTAGGTTTTGAATATGGAAGATGATATGAACTGGTATAGAGCAGAATTAGATGGAAGAGAAGGTTTAATCCCAAGTAATTACATAGAAATGAAGAAACATGAGTAAGTTTCTTATAATACTAAATGGTCTTTGTAGCAGCAGGTAAAAAATTGATATATACTGTATAATCCAAATATTCCTTTGTTTTTTTAATCTATTAATATAATGAAAATCTAAAAGATTTAATTTAAACAAAATCATAGTGATATGAAAATTTGTCTGGAAAATAATTTCCAGATGATAAATTTTTTTGTTTTTCAAATATTGAATAATTTGTAAAGAAGCAGGAACAGAATTTGTAAAATTTTTATGTATAAAAATATGATGGCTGAATTCAAATTTATCAGATTTTAATTAAGAAATTATTTTGAAAAATTATTATTTTAATATTTGTTATATGAAAAATGAAGTTGGCTATCATATTCAATAATGGTTATAATCTTAATAATGGAATGTTCAAGTCATTTATCTACAATTAAATTTTGTCTATTTTTTTTTTCTCATTATATACAGTATTTAAAAATGGTACACCATTACATCACTTTGTAATTTATCTAATATGCATCAAAGAAATTTTTTTATTTACAACTTCCTTCAAAATATAATGTATTACTTTTTTCTACAGTAAAGAAAACTTTATTTACTTTATTTAAACTGAGAATGATTGCAAAAAAATTAATCTTTATAATTCATGTTTGTAGATTTCAAAATATATAATTGAAAAATTAGTATTTTATTTCAGATTTTAAAAATTACAGACAGATAGAATTATACTTACTGTCAGTACTAAAACTGATAGTAGTTTTTATTTTAATAATAATGTAAAAAAGAGTTTCCTTTATAAGAGAGAGACTTAACTACCTTTATTTGATGCCAAGATTTCATTAATCATAATAATTAGCCCAGTTTTTTCTAACTAGGAAATTTTCTATCTGTAATCAAAATTGTTTTGTTCTTCCTTCTATTGTTTCTTGCTCAAGTCAGCAAGTAAATTCCTTGTCTTGTCAAAATGTTGATTGATTTCTCTTTGATCAAGTCAACTGTTACAACTATTCTCCAATCTGTTATTTTCTTTCCTATTCAATATTGATCATTCTGTTAATGTATTTATTCAATAAAACAGAAAAAATTTTGTTCATATTCTTCTCTCATCATCATATTGTACAAATTTTATTAAACTAAACCAAAATTTATTTTAAGGTTGAGACAGTCAATAACACTAGAGCTAAATATTACTCAGCTACTCAACAAAATGACATAAAGAAAAATACTGAAACTTTGACTTTAATTCCAGCTATTTTTGGATAATTTTCAAACAAATGTCACTAGGAAAAACATGGCTAGTTAATAAATCTTTTTAAGTATTTGGTATTTTCCTATGGTTGTAACAATATTTTTGTATATATTTATATAAATGTGGTGTTTTAACAGGCGAATGCTAGCTTCTGGATGGAGACGCGAACAGACAGAGAGAAAGTATTAATTGAAAGATGTCTCGTCCAGAGGTGAGTTTATATTTGCATTCTATTTATATAATTTTACATATATTTTTGTATATATTCCTATAAATGTGGTGTTTTAACAGGCGAATGCTAGCTTCTGGANGAACGACATAAACAACAAAATTACATTCTTAATTATAAATAAATTTATTTATATCTTTAAATTTGATGACAAGATTGGTATGATGGTGATGATAGAGTATATGTTTAGAGCTCTGTGTAAAATTAACTATTGGGCAAATCACCAAATTTGGTATATATATTGTCATAAGTATGTGGTTTTGTTTTGTTTTTGAGAAAAACTTTTACTTTGAAATCTTACAGCAAAATTTGGCACTTATGTCTTCTTAATATACATATTAAATATGTTTTCTAACAAATTTCAGATGTAGAGAACACTCCTTTTATAATTCTTCAGTAAGTTAACAGTCACTTTATCACTTTACTCACTTAATAAGTAAACATTCACAGTCATCAGCTTAGATGTTTACAAACTTTAGTACAACAATGATAAATTTTGCATGAGAGAGTGATTAGCCGATCATTTCCAATGTTTTAGCTGTCACAGTCATTGGATTTGCATTCTTGTGACTTTTGATTATGAAGGCTACTTTGAATAGTATTGTTTATAAAGGCACCATTTCCAACCTGTCTTAAGAGATAGAGAATTTCTCAGCCTGTGTGATAACTCCATATAGTCAATTGTGTTCTGCTGTTGAGTGTATTGTGCCTCATATGCAATTTTTAAAGCATGGGGATGGAAGGAATATAAAACCACATCTTTGATGCAGTCATTAATTTCACATTCCACATCTGTAATTGAAATAAAATTATTGCAGTTTGTTTCTAAACTATTGAAATTCATTAGAAAACTAATGTAATAGGCACATTAAGGGGAGAGCAGGGCCAAATTTTGCCATAGCAACTGAATTTTGAAGTAAATTTTTTTTTTCTCAAATTAAAACTGCTTGTTCAGGACAGTTTGTGTATCAAATTTAGTTGAGATGTGCTCAATAATTCTTTCTGCTAAGCACTCTGAACACCTACTGATTTAATTATGATCACCCTGTATAACTTTTATACAGGTTTTCATATGCAATCAATAAATTTAATAAAAGAAAATATTTTTATATCTGTATTAAAATTACAGAATTCTTAAAGAAGAAAAATTTGTTAAGAAATTCTATTTAAATTTAAATCAGTAATAATAACTATTTGATGTTTGTTGACTAAAATCATTAAAATATATACAAAAAACACTATAGATACTAATTTTCAGATTAACATCTATGAAGAGTTCCATCAGTATTAGTAAAAAGTAGTCCAACTAGACAGAAAACCATTAAACCTAGTAGTCTTGAGTGTTGTAATAGTCAAAATGCTCATGTCATAACTGATATTCTCTGATCTCCTGTGTCAAAATGTTTGAAATGTTCTTTTAATAACTTCATGGATCATATGAACACACAGAAATATACAGGGTGATCCATTTGGTATGTTATTTAATTTTACAACAATGTGTAAAATTAAATAACAAATAAAATAATGCAATTAGAGGTTACTAAATGTGACTTGTGTTGAAAGGTTTCAGTTTTGGGATGGTGTATGTTCATTTTGATACTCTGCCATATGGCTGGCACACATAAGTGGGAACATAAAATAGTAGTCACACCACAGCAGAAAGCCTAGTGTGTAGTATGGTATGCAAAATGGGAACATGTTACTCATGTCCAGAAAGAGTTCCTGAAAGTGAGTCTGACTTTTGCCTCACACTGGAGGAAGAATGCCCAGGGAATAGAGAGAACATTCAGTAGGTCATGATTCAGAGTACAAAGAAGAAACTGTGCCATTTGTCAGTAGAATGTGCACAATTCTCTGATACATGCTGTATGGAATGTCATTGGTACTTGAAAATGTTTCCATACTACAAGCATGATTATGAGGTGCATCACACATTTTTCAGCATGATGCACAAAGGAAGCAGACAGTCAATGCTTAAAATAGTGGGGTTTTCTCTGAAAAAGCAACATTTCATGTTAGTGGCAGAGTAAATATACATAACACTATCATTTTGAGTACTGAAAATCAACACACACAAACTTGAACAAGTAAATCTGAAATTCAATGTATAGTGTAGTTGTAACAAAGTGTATTGGCTGTTATTTTTCATATAGGACACTCACTATACCAGTACATACAGAAAATTATCTGGATATCATGAAGTAGTTCTATAGTCTGCAACTGCTGCAAGAGAAGGAGTTGCATAACATCTTCCAGCAAAATGGTGCTCTGCCACACCAAATTTATAAATAAATTTAATATTGTTACTGATTGAAAAATTTAGACTAAATTTTCTAGTCAACAGTACAGTTGTTCCCCACTTAGTTTAATTTAATGAACTAATTGGGAGAGCAGATATTCATTATTGCCAAAATCCATTAAACAAATGTATTTTAAAACATGTACATTGTAAGCTCATTATTAATACAATAAATATATAGAAATATTGTAATGTACTGTACATTGAGTAATTTATACTGCTACTAACATCTGTTAAAAACAGAAACCAAATTCTGTTTTATGTCATAAATTTAAATTTTAATTGTATAATTTTTTTTGACATGTTTAATGTATCTGGAGTGTTTTTGTTACTTAATGCTGATTTGTTGACTCAGCCTTTTAACATGTTATATTCATGAATATAAAAAAGTTCTAAATGTTTCCTTTAGTACAAATTTTTTATTCTTTAAAAACAGGGTTTGTTAAATTGAACTTTTGTGATTTGATATAATTCAGAAAATCTTGCTGTTTGAATTAATAATAACTGAATAAGTTTTTACCGAATTTATTTACTGCAAAAGATTAAATACGTTTTATGTTTATTATTTTCAGTTGGTATTATGGCAGGATTACAAGAGCTGATGGTGAAAAACTTCTTGCAAATAAACACGAAGGTGCTTTTCTGATACGTATCAGTGAAAGTTCACCTGGAGATTTTTCTCTATCTGTGAAGTAAGTTAAAATATTTTGAATTGCAAACTCAATAAAAACAAATGTATATTGAAAAATAAATTTTAAAAAGTTTCAATAACCTTTAACAGTCAAACCTTTCATAAAAATATAATAAAATATTTCAAGGTACTGATATTAATTTCCATCTGAATTTTAATTAACTTCTTATTTTTGTGATATACTTGATTTTTTTTTGTAGATGTGGTGATGGTGTCCAGCATTTCAAGGTGCTCAGAGATACCCAAGGAAAGTTTTTCCTTTGGGTAGTGAAATTTAATTCTTTGAATGAGCTTGTTGAATATCATCGTTCTGCTTCAGTTAGTCGTTCCCAGGATATAAAGTTGAAAGATATGCAACCTGAAGAGGTATGTTTGTAGTGATAAACTAAAATTTTAAATATTCAGTTCAGGAATATATTTGATACATTTTCTAATGTATTAAATATTAGTACTTTTTTTGTCAAAAATTATAAGATCTTAATAATCTTCAATGAGTACAAACATTGTTTTTGAAATTTGCTGGAAATGTTTAAGATAGGAGCATTAAATAGTTGACAATTCAAGCAAAGAGATTACCCAAATATGCATATAAACAACAAAGTTTGAATATGATACATTTACTGGTTTATGTAGAAATGATATTCAATGTTCTTCCCAGGCCCTTTTTTCAGACACCCTGCCCAGATGATTTTTCTGTCCACTGGCTGATAAACTCTTAGAAGTATACATATATTACTCATTTAAGCAATAAAGGTAGGACTTGACACTCGTATTCCAAATAAGTGAAGTTTGATCCCAATTTTTATTATTAAAAAAGACAAAGTATATATTTTATAAAATCAGTTGTATAAACAAAATAGTAATAATTACAAAATGTGAGGGTATTAATTGAAATTGACTTTTTGCTTATTCTTTATTCATTCATCTTGCCTCGATGTTTCATCTCAGGTTGCTTCAGAGCTTGGTGCTGATGATAAACTAAACATTTATTTGTTTTCTATTTTTGACTCAATTAACAATTGAAGATGTGTTTTTTTTTCTTTTCTTTTCTTTCAAATTTCAAATCTATTGCATTATGCCTATTTGTTTCAAAAAAGGATTAATTTTTGGTGATGTTTTCTTTTTAAGTTCAATTTTTAGTTCACTTGAAATTTTTCTGATAAAGAACATTGAATAATCATCATAACAGTCACAGGCTCTGAAGAAGGCTGAAAAAAGTTCTTTATTCATTATAATCACCAAGCAAAAGAACCTAAGTTTGATTGCTCACACACTACATATCTAAAAGAACAGATGTTAGTGTGTTTTATCACTACAGTAATATGCTGTGTGTTATACCACTGGAGAAACTGATGCCAGCTAGTAGAATTTGGTCTTGAATATAATATACAGTAGAGCGTCGTTTATCCAAATCAATTGGGGACTGGGGTTGTTCGGATAACCAATTATGTACGAAAAAATATATTAATTTATCCCGTGTTGAAATTTTTCTCCGTTGCGTGTCGCTTCGCGTTGAATTTTCGTCGATGTTAAGCCTAACGAAGACTATTGTATCGTTAAAAATTATTTTTTTATTTTGTACAAACAAAATAAATATATTGAAAAATATAAAAACAATAAAAAATTATACTTCAGAAGTTAATTTAGTATCAAAAACATAAAATATTTGAGTAGCCACAGATTACAGCGCCACAGCACTGGCGAAAATTTAAATTTGTCGACTAGAATTCCTTCGAATAACCGACCTTCGGATAAACGACGCTCTACTGTAGTTTCATTTGTGGAAGAGACCAGCATTAATATGGTGGCAGCTGAGTGAGATATATTCTTGGCACACTTATTGAAGAAGGAAAAAAGTTAATTTTATTTCTATTTGTTTAACAAAAAGAAAAACAAATGAACAATCAGAATTCAAGGCAAATGGATCAAAGATTCACACACCAGCAACCCTGGAACATGTACCTCTCTACCTGAGGGTACATGTTTTTATACTTGCTAAGAATTTATTTCTCAGATGGTATGGATTGATGCAGTTTCATTGGTCAGGTAGAATGGAATTCATGTTTTTCAACAGAAAATAGTCATTGACTTCAGCCTGCAAGAGAAGATAATTCAAATTTTTTCTAATGTTGACTCTTCAATATACTATTCACAGCCAAAGAGTAATCAGCCAACTATTCAATTCTTCAATAACAATTTCAAAACAACAGAACCTCAATTTGAAACCAGGACAACAAAGCTGTTCAAGGCAGAACAAGGTTATTTATATGATGAGCTCTCCATAGGCAGTTTGTATTGATCACCAGGCAAAACAATTCTTGGGAGAACACCATGGATGCAGAATACATCTGTGTAAATGAGGTTTGGAGGAAATTAAGCAGTCCCAGAGAAATTTGCAGTGTAAAAAATTTGTGACAATAACCACAAAAATAGAATAGCATGTTGGATTTGCAAATTATACAATGGGCCTATTTAAAATTATCTCCAATTTAATTTGAATTTTCCAAACTATATAGTAGTTAAAAAACTTGCACACAAAATAATCATCAGTTGGCTTGCAATATTTGGGGAGATTTTAGGTCCTGAAAATATTCTGCATTCCCAAATTATACTGATAAATAATATAATATGCAGACATCAGTTTTATTAGAATATCGTACCACTGTATAAATTTCAGAATTGGTTAAATTTGTCTTCCAAGTTCACATCAATACTTAATAACTAAAAAAATTTAATTATTCAGAAGGCAAAAGTAATTCTTTATCATATTATTAAATATTTCACTTATCATTTACAGAAATATTATTTAAATTTTATGTAAAAATGTTCTTATACACACAAATTATAGATAAAATTATCAAATATGTTCTCACTGAAGTTCTTGAAAAATTTTTGTCAAACTTTGTTATGCAGCTTTAATATACTAAACAGTTTGTAATCATGAAAAAAATGTGTAGATGCAATCATCAAAGCATAATACATTTTTGATTATTTAATCTAACAAGTAAATTACAATGTAGAACAATTTTGAGTCATTTAGATGTTTTTAGGTAATACACTAAATTATAAAAATCTTAATTTGTATTGTGCAATGAATTTAAAATAGCAAAGAATAAGTTTGTTTATATCATTTTATTTCAGTTTTTGGTGCAAGCTATGTACGACTTCCAGCCACAAGAACCGGGAGAACTGGAATTCCGTCGTGGTGACATTATTACCGTACTTGATAGATCGGACCAAAATTGGTGGGAAGGTGAAATTGGATCAAAGAGAGGTTATTTTCCTGCAACCTATGTTGTTCCATACCATACATAAATAACATCAAGGATTGAACTGTATATATTTCAGAGATTTACACTCAAATAATTTGGCAGATGTTCAAACAGCTTAACTATTTGTTTTGTACTGCCAACAGTGAACATTGTTTTGGGTGCTTTCTTTTCCTTTATCATTTTAATAAATTTTGGCAAATGTTAATATGTTATCCAAAGAAATTCAATATTCTTTGTGAATAGAATCTCTGGATTGTTAAAATTGACAGTTTGGTATTTGTCCCAAACAAACAGCTGAAAACACAAAATCATGAGCTCTCTCTACATTGTTTTGGCAAATTTTTTTTTAATTATCTTGTAATCTTATCAGGTGCTATATGTTGTTCTGTCAAATGCATGATAATATGCCATTTTAGCAATTAGTTTATCAGTATTTACAGAACATTTAATTATGATAATTAGATTGATACTATAATCTCATGTATGTTACTCAGTGTAAGCCTTTGGTGTTCATTATATGTATTGGTTGTCCAGAGAATGTTTTGCCATGATTAAATTCTTCCCTTATTGCAGCGAACAAAAAGTTTTACATTTTTATGACAAAACAATGCAAACATGTTCACTGCAAACATGTTAATTAAAACACATGTATTATATATATATATAGGCATTTCAATAGATGAATTTGGTGCTTACTGTAAATTTTATTCTTTTTAATAATTGCTCATAATTATAAATCTTATTTAATGTTTGTTATTCTTTAATTATGTAAATTTTTAAAACTAGTTTTGAAGGCACTACTTATATTGTAGCATTTGAAATTCACATTTTGATAAGTCACAACTTTGTAATATCACACTTCCAATTGTATAATGTGTAAATTATAGTGCATTAATTCAATTTTTCAAGTAATTGCATTACTTTTTTTAATTATAATCTGTTATAATGTTGTGACTAAAGTCAGATTAAGAGATTTGATTTGATATATTTTCATTTTACTTGAACTTATATTATAATTATTATTATTATTTTGCAAGTGTTTGAATTTTATTAAATAAACAACATATGGTCGTTCCTATGATAAAACTATCAAAGTAATAATTTGAAATACATTTCGATCACGGTCGTAATTATTGGCTTACAATTTAATTAGTGCCATACACTATAAATACACATTGTTTACATGACATAATTGATGCTTCACAACATTATTTTTTGTTACTTGATAACAAATAATTTTTTTGTTTTTTAGAATAATGTTGATTTATATATTGGCTAATCAATCTTTACAATTTTGATTTTAAATTTTGGAAATATTTAACGGAACTGGTCTTCATCAATGCGTATGTTTAGTTTCCGTTCCAGTTCGGACATCATATGATTATCACAACTCTCCTCTTTTTTGAAGAATCTTGTGCAGAAACATAAGACAGTGAGAGGTTCTGTTGATGAAGTACACATGCTAGTTATACCTTCCAATATATTTCATTTTTTATTGAATATGTAAATTTCAATAAGAAATGCATTCATATTTTACTGTACTTAGTACAATCATTGTGCAAATCATCAGAAAATGAATACACCATTTCTTGAGAGAGACATTCAAATGATGTTATATTGCACGTATGGAAGCAATACTATCTCTTACCTACGAATGAAAATTGTTTAGCATCGGTCAAGATTCTTGCTAAAATTGGAGACATTTACTTCTGAAAATGAGAAAACCAGTATATACTTTTGTGTCAGTTTCATTTTAAATAAAGGCTTCAATTAATTTGCATTGTGAAACTCAAGTCATTTTGTAATAAATTTTATAAACTTTCCTTTTGATAGGGAAAGTTTTTCCAGTTTGTGCTTATTGTGGTAAAATTAATTATATCAATTTCAAGTCTTAGGGATTTATTATGTACAATTGTAATATAAACTAATAAATTTTAGTTGATTTTTCTTCGTGAAAACTTGTCACTTTTTTTTAACGTAGTAAAGAGATTCTAGTTGACTGGGTACATTAGTAAATCACATAGAACATATAAATCAATCTCTGACAGTAAAGTTTAAATTGTTGCATATTTGAACTTGTTTTGATACAGATGTGCTAAAAGTTGACAAACACAAGTTGTTTTGACTTTGGAATATCCTCCTCAGAAAAAAAAAAGTCATCTTATGATTCATTTATTGAAATTTTATGATGTATTAATAGATAGTATGATCACAGGAAGAAAATATCTAAAAATGTAGATTCAGTTTTGCCTAAAAGTTTTCTTCAACAAATTAGTCACCACCACTAATCAATTTGAAAAATTATATCCTTTATATATTTAAAAATGTATTCTAGTCAAATCCATGCTGAGTAATAATTTATAAATTTCAATTATAACTTATGAACTAGTTATGTTGATTTTCCCTATAAAAATAACCATATCACAAAGATTAATATTTAAATTTTATCATACCATCAGAGAAATCTTTAAGAATATACAAGTAGCAACTGTGCAGAAATCTGGAGAGTCAGATTCTTTGTTAACAGAAAATCTAAAGTTAAACATAAACACCAAAATTTGAGCAATTGGATAACACAAATTAATGTCAAAAAGTATCTGATAACTTTATAAAAGTTGGCTTCAAAAAAAAAGATGACAAATTAAGTGAATCATTGTTAAAAAAACAAAAAGCGATTGATCATTTAATAAAAATTTTATCTTGTCTCCACTATGTGGTACAAAATTTTCAAAATGATTTGGAAAGATGTCAGTATAAGAAATGCAAGTTAACTTGTTGCATTTTTAAACTGAAAATTTTCACAAAGAAATGGTCCCTGTAATGTTTTAAAATCTTTCACATTAAGCATAGAAAGAAAAATTTGTTAGCAAATGAGTTGTATTTTGTTAGATAATATGCTAAAAGAAAAAGACCACCTTCAGTGTCAATACATATGTACATACATACAAACAAACAAACAAGACATCAGCTGTACATGAAGTGTTAAGCCAGCAGAAAAGAGGGTAAGGGAAAGGGGAGAGGAGATAGACAGTAGAGAAAGGTAGGATCCCTCTGAATGGCATACATGTGGCTACAGTACCCTCTGTTTGATGCTGGCATGCAGTTTTTATGCTGCAATGCTGTAATCCCCAAAGGGTCTAAAAGAAAACCTCAGTGTAGCAAACACCAATAATTGAGTGCCGCCACAAATAGCTAAGTGTAGAAGTTAGTGCTAAGCGGCTGTTGGTAGGAAGACATATCTATGATACTTAATACTACTTAACAGCTAGACAGCACGAAAAGCAAACAAACACAGTGACAAAACTAGACAAGATGAATGGACTGATAGAGACAAACGAGCAAGACCCCAAAATTTTTTATTTTCTTTTTCAAATGTTAACTTACTAACTAAACTAACCTACCATAACCTAGGACGAACCTAATCAGAGGACTAAAGCTAACAAACCCTAATCTAATTTAACCTAACCTATCATAACCTCAGTGGCAATACAAAGATGTAGACCAGTGGTTCCCAAAGTGGGTGCTACTGCCCCTTTGGCAGTGAATAAATCTAGGAGGTGAAAAGAATGGGAATACTGGAGGCAGGGTACTAAACAGAGACCATAGGCAAAGATTGGGTCACTGACAGCCTTTCCCTTTCCTCTGTTAAACAGATAAGAAGAAACATTGGGTTTAATGGTTTACAGATGTTCAGAACAATGTACTGTAAGGACACAAAGTGAGGTTCATATAAAAGTTTTCCTAAGAATATTTCCAAGCCTTTCTCACACAAGGGAAAATGGGTTAGGGGAAGTTGGGTATAACTTTATGAAATAAAGGGGATGGTGGATCAAAAAAGTTTGGGAATCACTGATATATAGATGGTCAAGTATGACATTATGGCTGGCACTTAATACCCCCCAGTGTCACCAATTCATAGGACTCATTTCTCTCCAGTTTGCCAACATCATCTTGTGTTGTAGGGTATGTATTCATCATACATCAATGCTTTTAGGTGAACCCACGGAAAAAACTAGAAGGGTCAAGTCTGAAACTTGACCCTTCGAACAAGGCCGTGTCATGCTAGGTAGCAGTTTGCCAAGCTACTCTCTAGCCACTGAAGCACATCTGCGCAAGAATGAGGTGGCACACTAGCAGATTTGGTAACAGTATGTAGTAGTGGCAATGGCAATTCAAGCCACCATTGTGTTTAGAATGTTCAGATACTCAGGGTATCATCAGTGAATATGGAACCAAGAAGCTGCCCACCCCAAATTCCATGTAATTAAAGTACACTCAGTGTTGCACATGTCAATACATCATGGAGCACACTGCAATAAACACTGCTTCATCAGTCCATAAAAATGTGTTGAAAGAGTGGTTTGTCATGCTGTAAATTTAATGTTTCACTATTCAAATTGCTTTATGGCATCTTTGTGCTGGTTGCATATAGCAGTGGAATGGATGCATCTTATAGCAATGTAATATCTGGCGTATTGTGTCCACAACCTAACCAATATTGAAAAGACTTGTCTTTGGATAGAGATTTAAGTGGGCACTGTATAATACTTGAAAGTAGGATTGATTTCTCTAATAATTAAAAATTCCATAAGAAATAATTATTCAAACATTACAAACGAAAAATTGTTTCTTTTAAGTTGTCAGTTCTGTCCATTCATATTTGCTATCTTGCATATTGAAGTGTGCAATGATGAATGTTGTAAATACCAAAAAACAAACTTTTCAGGAGAGAGAAAAAGCACTTTTTCTAGTGAATGAATTGAAAGAATTCATTTCAATTTTACAATAAATGTTAAAAAACTTATTAGGTTACAAATTCTCTGGAATAACAAAATGTAAACATAAGTTGTAAAGTTTTGTGCCAAAGTCACATGACTTGCACATAAATTCAACTACAAAATACAGCCACTATTGCCATATTATTTTTTTGCAGCAGAAAACTGCATTTTGAGAAAAAGGCATTTACGACATGGCATTGCATGCTTCATTTTGTGTACCGACGTGGATAAGATAAACTTTGTGCCTCCAGGGCAGTACACCAATTCATTGCCGACAAAAGCATTCCCATCATCACTCAGTCACCTTATTCTCCAGATCTTGCTCCCAGTGACTTTTGGCTATTCCCTACTCTCAAAATGGGCCTCAAAGGGACACATTTTGCAAGCAGGGGGATATCATATTGAATACAATAGTCCAACTCTGGAAGATTCCAAAGGGAGCATTCCACACCTGCTTTCAATAGTGGCAGGATTGATGGAACAAGTGTGTCTGTCCGAGAGGGGCTTTCTTTGAAGGTGATTAGGTCTGCATTGCCATATCTCATGCCACTACAATGCAGGATCATTACAGGAATGTTTTGACTGCCCCTCGTATATTACTTTTGATAATGTCTTACAAAATATTTTGTCTATCCAGTAACTTAAGAAATATGCAATGCATGAAAATGATCTTTTCTCTGGCTAAACAGCATAGAATTATGTTTTTTAAAAATGACTAGGTTAGTCTGCATACCACCTGGCATAGGCTTGTGCTCCTCAGACCACACTTTAGTTTAAAGGATCTGACATATTTTAAATAGTAAAAAACTAACAGATTTTTTTGCCCAAAGCATTAAAAACAACCATTGCTGAGAATTATTAAAGTGGGCAACAGATCTAATGCAGTATAAATGTTAAATACTATATTTGCCTATTTTTCCCATCAAAAATAATAATTCATCCATCCCATCTTCAAAATTGTAAAAATAATGTAAACCAGTGTCTTTCAACCTTTTCCTCATTGCAAACCAGTAAAGTTATTAATAATTATATGTGACTATGAAATATGCTTCTTTATTAAACTTAAATATACTTATCTAGAGTTATTGTACAGTACATAACAAGATACTGTACAGTACATATAACTCTAGATTACTATTTAAATGTTGCCCTTAATCAATTGTGCCAGGACAGTAGGATGAAATATTTTCTGTGGACTGCTGGTTGAAAAGCACTGAAAGAAACAATTTTTTTTCCACAATCAATTAGATTAAAAAACGAAACAAAAAAGTTTTAAAACAACAGAAAAAGTATTGAAAATGAATTATTATTTTCAAGAAAAACTTTATCACTTTTGTAAAACTTAGCTCAACATTTATTCACAAGAAAATCATTTTGTTTTTCTAAAATTTTAATAAAAGTTTATTTGAAAAGTAAAATTCTCCAACTTCCATAAGAAAGATCCTTTAAGTAGTGTGCATTTAACTGATGGAACAATTTGCTTGTGGCATTGATCCTCTAAAAAAATGTTCCAAATTATCATCTCAGACGTTTGTAATTGTCAAAATTTTTAGGTGGCACAGCTTTTGTTACATTTATTGTCTTCTTGGCATTGAATTACAAATTCATATATTGGATCAAGTGTCTTTCGTTTTCTTATAATCAA